AGAGAACCAGGCAATAGCTGATCTTATGTTGACAAGTGCCAGACATTTAGATACTTAATTCACATGATAGTTAATTGTTGAAACTTGACTAATGCATGGAATAATAATGCAACACAAAATATACTTAGAACAAACTGTATTGAAACAAGAAAGTGTACATAATATCTACATATAGTCTTTTGTATATTCCTGGTAAGACCGCTCCTGGAGAATGTGTTGACTGAATCGCTGTCGAGCAGAGTCTCTGGATTGAATCTCTTGATTCCTCCCTCTCTTCCCGGTACCAACCATATTTATATGGTCGGTACTCCACTATGCAAATTAGGTGGATCCTACCACAACATTAATTAAGCGATTATCTAATATTTTGAAAACTTTTGTTAACAATATACCACAAAACCAATATACCAAAAAAAAAGTCGATTTAAAAAGTGGATTCTCTGGTTTAAAGCAACCCTCTGAAATGCCTGTTTTTAAGTTATTTGTATGGGCCGGGGTAATAGTTAGGATTAAGAATATAATTAATTTGGTTTGAAAAGTTACCCCTAAATTGAAACAGTAAAAGTAATAATTGGGCTTAAGAGTCTTAATCGTTTCAGATATTACCCAGTTCCAAGCAATACCTGGAACTGTTGTGTAGTTGCTTGCAAAACAAATTACAGAATCTAGCAAGACAAAACTGTGTGTGAGATGAATAAAATATATGTTTATCGTTTTCCAAAAGACAAAGATGAGAGAGAGAGAGAGAGAGCGAGCGATGGAAAAATCAGTTCTAAATGCGAATATTAACGTTACAAACAATACAGTTATTTCTCAACTACATTGGCTTTCAAATTTTGATACCATAGAAGCTCATGGAAAATACGCCCTAATGTATGGCCAGGTGTGCCAAAGAGTCAATACCAACACCCTCTGCTGTTCAAAGTGATTTGAAAATAGCCCTCCAACACTGGTCGAAATCATATTGATGAAATGAATGCTTTTTTAGAATTAGATAAGATTAATTATACAACTTTGAAAGAAAGTCTAATGAAAAATACAAAAACTTTGTGTGTCCAGTTGTAGCATTTTTAGCTGAAAATATTTGAACTGATCAGTCGTCAAAAGTTATCCCTCTCTTTATGTTGAGAATTTATTTAAAAAATTGTAATATTAGCAGCCTATCCAAGATCTGTATAAATACAGTTGATACTTGGTCAACATTGTAAGAAATTATTCAATATTTAAATTCTATATCTTTTGATCATATGTTATACCGGAACATACCTATTCTATTGTTAATAGACTCTTCCACACATAATAAGTAGTAGTAGTCGCCAGGGAGCTCAGAGTGGAGTTGGTCGAGTCAGTCGATGTCGGACATTAAAGTATCAACCACCACAACTAGATTGCTGCGTCATTAACTATTATAACAAGTTCCTAACGTTTTGTACGTCGAACCCTTTTAGGACCGACTTAGTGAAACACAAGCCTCCACTGTGAAAACTACTCTAAAACATCATAAGAAGGATATCTTGAGTCAACAGTTTTCAGCAATGGCCCTAAAAATACTTGGAATGAAATACAGCTTAGATATAGTAATATGCGCTTTTTAGTACTATGCTGCATCACTGTCATTGTATAATAGATTAAGACAGGATTTCAATTACCATCATTAGCAACATTATGAAGGATGTCATCTAAAGTCTCAAAACTTAATGAAAAATATTTTTATCTCTATTTAATAGTCCTTATGGCAGTCAAAAAGTTTGTATTATTATCCATGATAAATTATATATCAAGAAAATATTACTATATCATGGCAAACAATTATTTGGTAAGTCAATCCATCTCTACTTGCTAAAACAGTACTTGGTATAATATTGATATGTCCTAATGGGGACCCAAAATGTCTTACAAGATTGATTCGAGATTCAAAATTAACATCAGCCTTTTTATTTGAATAAATTGAGTTCAGGCCTTTACATCCTCTGTACCAGAAGATGTAAAGGCTACTATGTGTGATGGCAACTGTGTAAATAAAGCTTTTTGTAAATTATATCCCACACTCCCTGAAAACATTGGCTAACTGAAAGTAATAAACACTTGCTTTTTGATTACTTTCATCTGTTGAAAAATATTCACAATTTGTGACTCACAGAAAAGACAGGGGAACTTATATTTGATGCTAATGGAGTAAAACAAGTTGTAAAATTGGCACATCTTAAACAGTTATATCGTTATGAATCCGAAATACTAGTTAAACTTTAACATCTAAATGAAATTTCCATTGCTCCAAAGCCCATAGAAAGACAACAGGATTCTACTTGCCTCAGAGTGTTTTCAGAAAAAAAAAACAATGCGCTTCTCTCACAGTCTGAAAGAAGTGCGGATAAGAATGATACTGTCATCTTCATAAACAAGGTTTTGACGTGGTGGAAAATTTTAAATGTTAAGACCCTTCAAATTCAATGAACCTCTATAAGATGAAATTATATCTCCAAATGACAGCGGACTTGAT